ATCAACAAGACTAGAAGCTGATTCTCTGAAAAGATTAATAAAACTGATAAACAACTGGCAAACTTAACTAATGAAAAGAAGATGCAAATAACACGAATAAGAAATTTAATGGATGATGTCACCACAGAACCAACCAAAACACAGTTCACCTCCTGCCCCAGGTTGTTTGTTCCCTGGAGCCCTACACTTACTTCTGTATCATCACACTTGTTGAAAACACTTGTCCTACTTCTGCCTCCCCTGTTCCCCTGGACTGTGAGCTCCCCAAGGGCAGAGGTCTCATTTGCAGTGCTCCCCACTACAACCCCGGGGCCCAGCACAGAGCTGTGTACTCAGTATGTATTTATTGACTGAAAGTAGGTCTGAATGACATCCAACCTTGGTGATGGCCTACAGATCCAGAGGGGGAGCCAAACAGAGGCCAACAATCTCATTATCCAGAGTCATGCCTCAAAATGTCTAAGTATGTCACCCATGACTCAGAAGGACTACCCACCTGGACTGGGAGCCAGACTCATCTCCTGTGCCCAGCATACCCCTTTGATAAATATGGCTGAGGCCATGATCCTGTCAGGCCTTAGAGTCTACTGTGGGCATCTTGAAGGGAGCACTTTTCCTAACTCCTCAGAAGAGATAGTGAGGATCAATAGAACCAACTATTTCAAAGCATTTTAGAAAGAGTGAGATGTTGGCCTGACTAAGGAATGGCTCCAGCCCACTAGACAGAGCTATAAATTACTATTGGCTATTTCTAAAAATAAACTTTGCTCTTAAACACAGAACTTTTGTCACCACTGAGGATCTTCAAAGAGATATGTGCTGGCTCTGATGGCCACTTCTGAAATGGAGCAGAAAACATTCTGGCTAAAGGCAGCCTGTGGGCACCAGTCTTCCAGGAGGACCCTTGAATGAGACTAGCACTGAGGTGATGCTGAAGGTTCTAGGGAATTGGGCAATCACCTTGTAACACAGTCACACCTCATTTGGCATCTGGGGATGCCTCTGAGGTGCAGCACAGGCTGTCTTTGGGTTTCTTTGCCCGTTTATTTTTTCAGATGATATTTCCTGCCCAAGGTCCCTGTGTGGTACAAATGGTTTGCACTCAACTATTAACCTTAATGTCGGCAGTTCAAACCCAGTCAGTGGTGCCATGGAGATTCTGTAAAGATTACAACCAAGAGAACCCTAAGGAGCAGTTCTACCCTTTAACATGGGTAACATGGGTCTACAGGTTTGTTTTTTCTGTTTTATTTCATGTCCTCCCCCCCACCCCCGCCACTTGACTGTCTCAGAGGCTAGGAAAGCTTAGAAACTTTTCCTGGAAAGTCCTTGGGGGCCTTCCATGGGGCAATGCTTCTCCCTGTGATGCTTGATCAGGGAGCTGTCACGCCAGCTGTGCAGTCTGGAAAGGGACCCAGCTGGTGATGGGATCTGTGCTCTGGCAAACTTCCACCAACAGGATGGTTCTGCCCTGATGGAAAAACAGTCTGGGGAGTCAGGTGTTAAGTGATGAGACTAATCCTACCTCAGGTAAAACTGGCTAAGGATGCTAGATGGGGAGGAGGAGGCTTGTGTTCTCTCATCCGCAAGCCCTGGGTGACAGTTGACTTTCCTACCTTCAGGATACTTGTACTTCTCTGTGACATCTATGCGGGAGTTGCTGCCCACAGCCTTGGTGCTGATGTACTTGCCCACCGAGTGCATGTCAGAGAAATTCTTCTTCTGTACGTTGGTTTTGCTATCGTAGATCCAGGTGATGCGGTCAGCATTAACTTCCGCGAAGACAAACGTCATGTCAAAGTCCTGGTCCACATCACCCTCTCGGACACCAATAACTGAGGCGGGGCCACACTGGAATACTCCTGGTGGGCAGAATGCAGAAACTGACATATGCCAAAGCCAGGCCCATCTGCAACACTCTATCCCAGGTCATTTCCTCCCAAGAGCCTTCCATAACCACCCCAAACCCCTTGCCTCTACCTCACCCCAAGTCTGACTGTCTACCTCACTCTTTTGGCCCTTGGCATAGACCCTCCTGGTTTATTGCTGTCTTTCTGCAACAGCACCCCAGCCAAACTCCAGCTCTGCTTTAGACTGGTCCAATTCTTCATTCCATGGGTGCATAATCCATGCTGACACACTGCTCTTAGTCTGCTTCCTAAAGAGGAAAGTTGTGCTGCCTCGCGCTTTGGGCTACTGCCTCTTCGCACTCACGCATGCATGTGCACACACACACACAAACACACTTTGTATATCTGGCTTTCAATTTTTTTTTTTTTTTTTACCATGGCCCCCAGAAAGAAATATATTTTGATATTGTTTGGTGCAGTGAATTACTTAATATGGCTCTTCTAGCTATGGTCTTTGTGACTCCCACCAGATGACTAGGTGAGACTATGTACATTTGAGGTGGTTGTGGCCCACCAAGGTGATTGGATAGCTTGCTAATAATATAAATAAGGTATATGGTACCCTTGTGGGGGTTGTTGTTGTTATGGCCATCGAGTTGGACCCGACTCACAGCGACCCCTCCTTGGGTTTCTAAGGCAGTATCACTATGGAAGTAGATGCAAATAAGGTATATGGAACCCTACTGTGGGGATTGGTCAGTTTTGCTATCCCACTAGGCTTAAAATGAGCCATACCAGAGGTGGAAAGGAGGTGATCTCATTGTCATCAAGAAAGAAGAGCCAGGAGTGGAGCATGTCTTTGACCCAGGATCCCTACACTAGACCTCCGTGACCCAGGAGACAGAGAGAGCTATAAAACTTTGTTGAGATGGCACAGAGACAGCAGAGGCAGCACAACCAAGAGAACAGCATGAGGCAGAGCTGCAGGCTTCCCAGCCCATGAAGCAAGAAAGCTGACTGCCTTCAACAGGAGGCTTGTTGGTGGAGTGGGGTGCCTCTCTGAGCACCTATTGGCATAGCTAAAAGAGCTTGTAACACTTGCCAGAGCAGGGCAGAGGTGGAGGACAGAGAGACGTGTGCCTGTGGCACAGGTGAGAGGAAGTTGTCTTGATTGAGGAATTACATCCTGAGTGTTCCTGAACCTGAATTGTAAACTGTTACTTCCCTAATAAACGCCATAATTGTGAATATTGTCTGTGAGTTCTGTGTGGCCATTGCAACAAATTATTGAACCCAGCAGAGAAGTAGAGAGTGCCATGAAAGACAGTTGGTGTCAGAATTGGTAAAAGGTTGGGGGGCGGTGGCATGTCTGAACTCCACCTCATAGGAATCAGCCTTAGGCTGGCTGCTGATGGTGATTTTCTCTCCTCTTCATGAAATTAGAGGAGGTCAGACAACAAAGCTGCCCCTACACCCTTTTTGGCATATTGTAACACATACTTGATACTGAAATAAAAGTTTCACAGAATAATACTACCCTTACTATATACAATGCTTTCTGGTATTTTCTTTCCTTTTTCAAAATTTTATTTCCTTTCCATTGCATCTTGTTTCATTTCTTAAAATGATGGTCATAAGCTAACTTGATTTTATAACCATTAATGGGTTTTGTTTTAATGGGTTTAACTAAAAGTTTGAAAACAGGAAATATCTGAAATACTACACTCTTCTTAAAAATCTAGTAGTGTGCTTTGCTTCTGGTTGGTGGGCCAGGGTTGAGGGTATGAATATTACTTCATTTTCAAGTCTTTTTACAACTGTTTGAATATTTTTAAAACCATGTGCACAGATTACTTTTATATATATATAT